AAACATATATGTATACATACATAGTTTTTAAAGGAATTGAAGTGGGAGGAACCTTTGGAGCTCAAAATCTCAAGGATAAAAACATATGAACTGCCAATTCCCTGATGGTCTAAGATCTGAGCTTTACTGAGCCACTTGAGAGAGGCAGGAAACAAATCTTAAATCCTCAGTGAAGGGAGAGAGAAGACCTCTACATAAACTTTTCATAGGAGTTTCTCATAATGTGGTAAGATCAAGTAGATCAAAAAAAATCAGTAAGGCTAGTGAAGACACAATCAACAAGTTGGGTATAACTGGCAAATATAAAACCCTGTGCCTAACTGTAAAAATGCACACACCTCATGAGCACCCACAGAACATGAATGTAGAATGTTCTAGTTTAGTCCATGGATCAAGAATTAAAAAAATCACAGAGTCACTGTCAGCAAGCACTTTAATCATAACAAGTAAGTTAGAAGTCAATTTAAAATATATATCACTGGTTGATTCCTGAAGTTGGGTTTTGAAAGAGAAGAGATATATCAAAGAAAGTAGAAAAAAGATGACCTGGTATCAGAGATATTAAATATACATACATGAAGTATAGATCTATAATGCATGGATATCAATACATGAATTATTTATAGAATAAGACATACACATACACAAGGTAGAACTTGCATAACAAAGCAAAAGCAAGTTCTCTGAAAGCTATAATAAAAAAGACCATCATCTCAGGCTGGGTGAGATGCCACACTTTGGGAGACTGAGGCAGAAGGGTCATAAATTTGAGGCCAATCTGGGCTACGTAGCAAGTTCAGTTCCAGCCTTGACTACTTAGTGAGATCCTATCTCAAAAAAAAAAACCAACAAAAGAGAAAAGTCATCTCTGATAAAATTGATTAAAATTAGAGAGAAGAATAAAAACTGAGATATAACAAGTATAGTAAATCTTAAAATGGAATGGCCGACAAAATGCTAACAAAATTTAAATCCTCAGTAAAATGTACATATTCCTAGAAAAATATAACTTGCCCAGAATCAAGTAAGAATAGATTAATGCCTGACTATCCATAACCATTAAAAAAGAAAGAAAATCCTCCAACTAGAAAACAGATCCACATGGTTTTGCAGGTAAGTTCCTATGCTCTAGCAAGTATTTAAGGAATAAATAATTCCAGTCATATCCAAACTCTCGCAGAACAGAAGCAAGGCCATAATCCCCTCATGACTCTCTCAGCCTAAATCTTGAATGGGAAACAGACAAGTTTAGGCTCTGGTGCTATTGACTGATTAACTGCTCTCTGTCGGTTCCCCTCAGAGAAGTAGCGGATAAGATCAGGTACAGACTATTCAGGGTGTCCAGAGCATAGACACATCCATCACCATCCATTAACACCATAGCTGCCCAGTCATGGGCCTAAGTGAATTATCTCAGACTGGACCAGAATCATTTCTGTTCCCACACAACTTTCTTTTTTTTTTTTTTTTAAACCCAGGCACTAATCATAGCAGAGAGGCCCAGCAGACAGGGCAAACTCTTTTTTAACTGTCATAAAACAGGCTCCTTTTAACTATTCCTTATCACTGAGAACAGCTTGTAGATAACTGCATAAACAACCTCCTGCCACAAGGAGGAATAAGAGGTCCTCTATGTCCTGACCACAAGGCTCCCTGGTTCTATGCCAGAAGTAGCCTGAAAGAAAAGCCACCAAGCCTGGCAGCCTACAAATTAAGCCCTATGTAAAATTAAAGCCCTATGTAAAAGCCCTATGTAAAATCCATGGCAGTTGCTCTGTGCCATCCAGAGGGATATAATTAAGAAATATATAGTTCAATTTCAGCTGTCAATAGTGTAATTCAATTGCAGTGCTAATTGTAGACAGAATTACAGAGGCTAATGAGGAAAAAGATTAGATCAAAGATTAACATCCTGTGGGAAGCTATAACAATAGTCTTTTGTATTAGCAACAAATCGTTATTGACACTGGTTCTAGGGTCTTTAAGAGCCACCTCTTCTCAACCTTCTGATCTAAAATTTGAGGGGTATAATCAAATACAGTCACACCTGGAACACACCCACTCATGTTTCAAGAACTCAAGTTTACAAGAGGGTTATATGACAACCCTGCTTACAAAGCATCTACACTTATAAGAACTGATATTTATCTCTCACCTGCCCCAAGCCTCTGAATACCTTGAGATGAGGGTGATTACACTGTGGCTCTGGAGGTGGCGGGCATTTGCCACCTGTGCACAAGGATGTACTCTCAAGGGTACTTCTGGCCTGTTCACATATAGGGCTGATACTCATCTTCCCTGTTCCCACTAACTGGGGGAGGGGGAAACTTTTTTGGTTTCAAAAGTGAACTACATAAACATTAATATATGCCCAAGCAAAGGACAATTTTGGGGGGAAAAGTAACGTCATAATACAGAGTAATTATAAAGGGAAGTTCCTTGATATGTAATGATTATTAATAATCATCACAGAAAGAACTGTATATATTTTAGCAGGTATTCGTGATGTTCTGTGTAAGTAGCTACTATTTGATGAGTACAGGGAGCCCATAAAAATTTCACTGATACAAGTGGTAATTCCATTTTTTAAGCATGATAAAATACAGTCCCTGGGTTCGTGTTTGGGTCTTTCGTGTGTTTTGGTAGTGATGCCTGATATCATTCAACCTCAGTTAATCAGAAAATATACAAAGAGAGAGGAAGATTTAAATGTTCACCCAAGAAATATCATTTCTATAGGATCTGTGGTCTTACAATATAATAACACAGTTTTCAAACTTTCTTTTAGCTGTGCCACTGTTACAGCAAAGGAACGCTTACTTAGAAAAAATACTGTGTAATGAGATGAGATGAGAACATAATCGCTCTGGCTAGGGGGTTGTAAGAAAGAATTTAACAGCATCATCTTCTTTTCTCTATATAATCCACACAGCAACAAGAAACCAACCTAGAAGTAAAACAACTATAAAAGAGTCAGAGGGCCCTGAATTCAAATCTTGGTTCTTCCATTTACTATGACTTTGGGTAGTAAAAATACTATTAACACTAATATCAACAAATAAAAACAGAACAATTGAGCACTTGCTTAGCGCCAGGCATTATTCTAAGTGCCTTATTTGCGTTAATTTAATTCTACCAATAATATGAGATAGTTACTACTATTACCACTATTTTATCTACAAAGAAACTACTTCTCAGGAGAATTAAGTAATTTGTCCCAAAAAAAAAAAAAAAAAAAAAGTAATTTGTCCAAAGATCATCCAAGCCCCAAAAGGTGTAGATTACATTAATAACCAGAAAAATTCTTAACCTCTTCAGTCATCTTAAAAAATGAAAACAGCATTAATAATCTTGAAGAAAAATGTCCTCAAGAGCTCAATAATTATTATTATTCTTTTCATCAAGAATAGCATAGAATGCATACCCTCCAGATACTAATAACCTCAGTGTTGAACTATCTGTCAGACAGCTCCTGTCAAATGTTTGTATGGGTTCATTACAACTCAGGAGATGGTTCACAGGACATACAAACTTCTAGATCCTCAAAAAGTCATTAGTGATTTTATATTCCAAAAGAATCTACTAAACAAAGGCATAAATAGAAAAAAATAATAAACAAAGTTCAATATTCAGCCAGATAAAGTCTAAAAAAATCTGCCTCCTAATCAATGAGATTTTATTCACAAAAGTAACTAAAACATACATATGACAAATACTAATTAAACACCTATTTTACACTGTAGATGAACCAAGGTACTGTTTATACAGTGGCAGTGATAGTGTCCTTGTGGAGCTTACATTCAGGTGCAGGAGGCAGACAATAAACACGGAGACCAACATGAAAATAGTAACATTCCCTCTTGACGCTTTCTTCTCAATATCATCAGAGACCATAACCTAGAACAGGACATCCCAATCTGTGGAGACTCTACAAAGTAGGATATTACTCTCAAGGGTGCTTCTATTCATGAAGAAATTAAGAGCCCAAGAGACGAGAGCTAGACTGTGTTATGGTGCCACCCATAATGTGATGAAGCTGTGAGACACAGACAATCTCTCTTTCTCCAGGCTCTAATACCCAGAACTCTCCATGAGTCAGATCTATTTCTGCAATGGGAAGGAAAAGCAAATTCCTATAAATGGGCAGTGTCAGGTATCCTGAGTTCTCGTGTGATGCAGACACACTCATCCCCTACCTTCCTTCCCCATCTCCTCCAGGCACTGCTCACACAATAGGGAGCTAAGTCTTGACTACATGTACTCTCTGTGGAAAGAAGGCCACTCTGAACGGTACCAGGTAAAAAAAAGGAGACCGAGGAGCTTTTGGAAAGACTTTCAATAAAAGACTTGTTATAACCAATTCAACATTCCAGTTCCCATCAAGGAATTAATCAGCTAGAAAAGCCAACTGGTTGTTCTTTCCAATGAGGCACAATCTTTTGGGTGTCCTTTCTAGACAAAGTCTCCTATCAGCAAATGCAAACATTAAAACCAAGCCCTTGAGATGCATTAAAAGCAGTATGATATAAAGAACATTCCACATTAAGTGAATCAATAGAAAATTGCCTCCTGTCTCCTAAACACACTGAGTATCAGTTGGGGAAGTGAGCAGACACTGATTAGGTAGAAAAGTCTGCTCAACTTCAGGTTTCAGCTCTACCTGAATAAGTATGTGTGCTCTGAAAAATTTACAACAGAATCAATCTCACTGCACCCAAACTGCCTCACAGCTAGGACCCACACTGTGATGGTGTTGTATACATGCACATGGTATATCCACACTGTTTCAGCAGAGATCCCTGAACTACCACACCAGGTACCACAGTTCTACAAGTGTGTATGTTAAAAAAAAAAAAAAAAAAAGAGAGAGATGGCCTATACCATAAAATTATTTGGAAATAAATTTCATAAAGGAGTTTTTTGTGCAAAAGGAAAATGAGACAAGTTGGTTTCTATGTTGTATAGAACTATATATCAAGCACTGGGTCTCCTGAGCATACCTGCAATGATCCCATCCATCTGCTCCAGGGCGGCTTCCAGTGCGTGACTAGCATCAGAAGCCATGGCTCCTCTTCCTGCTTAGTGTCCTCCTCCTATTACTGAAAATCCAAATACAGAACAAAGGAAAAATTACAGAACTGCCGCATCACGCACATAAGACCACAAAACACTTTAAATCCATTGTCATACAATGCATTTTCATGAAGAATCTTGGTTGCTTGTGGGTACTGTCTGATATCTCTTGGCCTCTTCCCCTTGACACAAGTGCTCTTTTCCACATACTTTACTTCTGTGATAAAAAGCCACCAGGGCCTTCCAGAGTCACCTGTGGCAGTGAGACGCAGTTGTTACACCTCTCCATGCTGAAAGTCCCGGGCTCCAGAAGCTCCAGTCAGCACTGGGAGACACTATACTGCCTCACAGCTGCATCTGCCCACACCTGCAATGTTTTCCTTGGGTGGCTGTGACCCTGGTGGAGAAGCCTCACCTGCCACCTTCAATTCTCCAAATGGGCCAGTATGCCTACCTTTCTAGGTCTCAGGCACAAGGATACGGAGAGAACACTGTCTGAGAAACACCATGCTGGCCGTCTGAGATGCAGTCTACCCAGTATCACTCAAAGCTCAGGGCCACCCTCTCAGGACTGAGGAATATCTCCAAGCACAGAGTACAACCACTTCCTAATGCCCAATTTCCCCTCCGAGGGCCCTACAACAGCCCTAACTACACATGCTAACCCTGGACCAACTACCAGTTAAACTGCCTTCTTGCAGCCTCCTCTCATTTTCCTTGCTTCAAACCTCCTCCCTGGATAGAAGAGAAGGCCTTACAACAGAGTTTGTAATCCTAAGAAAGACCTAGCTCAGGTCTATAACTCCTGGGAGCAGGCGTTTCCATTTGTTTGCTTACTCAGCAAAACCTACCAGTATGTGGAGGACCACCTGGGCATCTCTCCTTGAAAGAAGTGCATCTGGTCCTACCTTGGTGTGCTGATATGCATAGAGCTGGCTAGGGCATTTCCTTATCCCCTCAGTTGGCTTTAAGCAATGCAAATGGGTCTAGCACAATTCGACTAGTCAGTGATGCCCTGCCTACAGCTCTCAAGTAGGTGTGAACTAGGCCAAGAGACACCCCTCTGTTGGCTGAGAATAAGCCTCTAGAAAAGAGGCTATGACTTCTTAGGGCTTGAAAATTACACATCAAAACTGAAGCACTGACCCCAAAACACTAGATAGTGTCCCAGTCTGTGATATGTAGATTACTCGCTCCATATCTCTCTCTTTCTCTCTCTGCATATTGCAGAGGTGATTTCAGGCCTCCTACCTAGCCCAGCTCACAGCACTCACATACTTCCTGCCACTCTCTGTAGTCACCCATCCCTGAGCCACTCCCCTCTTCACGAATTAATAAAACCTGGGTTCAGCCCTGGGTCAAGGCCTGTGCTCCAGTTAGCCCTTGTTCTAACTGGACTCAGGGCCCCTTGGTTACCCACAACTACAAATATGCCTTAGTGTCTTTATTCTTGCCATGAGTTGCACTGGAAGTGGTAGATTGGAATTAACTTATTACAATTCTAATAACTTTCCCATAGGATTACAAATGTGGACTTTTCTGGACCACAATGAGGTCCAGAATGGCCTTCTGTACCAGTCTGCCTGACAGGCACCATTACTTTAAAGAATAGAGGCCTGGCTCCCACACTCAAGCACACTTCAGGCCCAGGAGCCAACACTAACGGTCTCTGCTAACTTTCCCTGTGAGGCTGGATCTTTGGCGTGAAGAAGGTGGGCACCACACAGTAATGGCTTTGAAGATGATGTAGATAAGGACTTCAGGTCCACAAAGAGCAATGTTGCACTGTACCAGGAAGGAGCAGTTCAATTCACAGGCATGTAGGTTGCACCCCGAGTTCGGATCCAGCTCGGCCATGTACTGTCATCTCTGAGCCTCAATTTCCTCAACCATAAAATAGGGTAACAGCATCTAACTCCCAAGATTGATATCATGATTAATGAGTTATTAAAGTTTCATGCAGAGCACTTAACTATGTTCTCTTGTACACAGTAAGTGCTTGATATATATTAGCTATTTTTGTTATGCGCTTTTAAGGAAGGAGATAACCTCAAGATCTACTTTTGACAGGACAACTAAAATGGAGCAGGGGCTGGGCATGCCTGTAATCCTAGCACTTGGGAGGCTGAGGCAGGAGGATCGTTGCGAGATCGAGACCATCCTGGGCTACAAAGTGGGCTCAAGGCCAGCCTGAACTGCATAGCAAGACCCTGTCTCAAAAACATAAAATAAATAAAATAAAGTAAAATAAAAACAATACAATACAATACAATACAATACAATACAATGGAGGAGGGGCCAGGGAGGGGCAACCCAGATATAATCAAGAGGATGGTCCACCTGGAGGAGGTAGACATGGCACAGAAGAGAAGTTCCCCTAATGTGGAGGCAGGTAAAGGTGGTGGTCCCAGAGATGAAGGCCAAAGAAGGCTCAGGAACAATAGGCACTGAGCTTCGAAGAGAATGAGAGCTCCATGAGGGGATCCAGGAGCCTCAAAAGCACCTCAGAGCTCTGGCAGGGGGGAAAAAGGGCTGAAACCAGGACCAGAGTATCCCAGATTGCTCCAGAGGAATCTTGGGGTCTGAAAGGAAACAAGCTTGGCTCAAGATAGAAGAAAGGTCTGAGAAAGACAGCAGAAACAAGGCAAAACCAGCAAATTCCCACTTGGTCAGCCATAAAAAACATTAAAAGTTTGAAATACTTCCCTCCAAGTTTCCCACTGTTCTTGGACAAGATTCTAAAATCTTCACTGTGACCCAGGAGAAAATTGCCGCAGTGTGGCCAGGCCAACCTCAACGCATTCTCCCCAAGGCTCTTTCTGTGTCAAAAGTACTGGTCTCCTACCTGCTCCCCACCCTGGATATTTGCAAGTTGACATCTGCCAGGCCCTCTGCCCTAAGCTCAGTCCCTGGTTCTCTGCGCAGCTGATTATTCTTATTCACCAGGTCCCAGCTCCCAAGTATCTCAGAGAGACCTTCCCTGAACACCCCTCATCTAAAGCAGCCCTTCTGAGGCACAGTAACCCGAGTAACACATTTGTTTTCTTCTTACTTGGCCACTTTCCCCATGGAGGCAAGGTGACCCTGTCTGCCTTTTTCCACCCCTTTGTTGTCAGTGCCCAGTGGAGCGACTGGCACAGAAAAGTTTATGAGTAAATGTCCACAAATTAATGGTTGGATTCATGCAGCCAACATCCCCTGAACTCCTGATGTGCTCAGCATTGGTGAATATTAATAAATTACACCTAGTCTCTGTTCCCATGGACCACACAGTCTAAGGGAGAAGATAGAAGTGTGAGCAAATAAATATGACACACTATGAGGTGTGCTGAAGAGGCAGGTACGGTATACAATTTCCTTGAGTCTTGACTGCTAAACAGGTGCTTTCTCAGAAGATGAGGACACTGCTATTGCAGGGAGAGGGGGTGGTACATAAAAGGCAGGGAAACCTGTAAGGGCAGGATGTAGTTGGTTAAGGTCAAAAAGGTGTCAAGATATACAAGAGCATCTAGCTCAAGAAGACTCAAAACCTTCCCCAGAATTCACATAAGCGAACAAAGGCAATTAAAAAGAGCAGCTTTGGGAAGCACAACCACTACCTCAGGGGTCTGGATAACAGTTCATAAAAAAAATCAAGTGGCCTCAGATGGAAACAAAGAAAGATCTTGTATTTCAGCAGACTGGGCCCATTGATAAGCTGTGGCTGGCCCCATCAGGGGCCTTAGTACCAGCGTGGAATCTGGGAGAGCATTTAAGGGTGTGAACTCCCAAGGACCCATGATATGTCTGTTCTCCTGCAACAGAAAGCCTGCAAGTGAAGAATATGGGCCCTGTGCCCAGCAATGAGTTTGTAGTTGGCAAACAGCAAGCTGGGTGGACCCGTGGGAGCTGGCCTGAAGTGAAACATGAGTCAAAGGTGCATCCTAGTCACAAGCCAGGAGGTGGGCCAGTGAGATTGGGGAACCTGTTCCGGGCCGTGCTCATGAGCTCATTCTACATCTGCTGGGTCTGAGGTGGCGGAAGGACAACTGGGTAAGAATGGGTCCCTGCCAGCCTTGTCACAGGGTCTGTGTGAGGCATCAGTGGTGTTGGGTGTGGAAAGGCCAACTATGCCACAGGTGGAAGACCGCCTGTCACCAGCTGTGGACTCAGACAATTCCGCTGGATAAGGAAAGCTACCAGGTCACTAGTTAGCTTTCTATTCTGCAGCTAATGGCTATTTTCTTCCCTCAGCACTCTGTAGGTTGGAGGTCCCAGCAGCAAACAACACACCATGGGGCAATCCCCACCCTCGAGAAACTTGGGACTAAAAAAAAACAAACAACTGTCTCTTCTAATCTTATATTTTTTATGCCAAATGTGTAGGTTTTTTTTTTAATATCAAGCAATTTTTTAATTCTTTGTGGACTCCAAATGGGTGTCCTGCAATTCAATTCGATCTTAACACTCCCTACTTCGAATCAGCAACAGATCCCACAAGTTGAGGACTCACTCCCCCAAGAATGCCCCCACTCCAGACGACAGGTGAAAGTCTGCCTTCTCACTGGCTACAAATCAGTTCTTACAATGCCCTCCTCAAATTTGATAATTTTCAGAACTCAGAAACACATTTTACTTTTGCTTACTCGTTTAACATAAAGGACACAACTCAGGGAAGGCCAAATGGAAAAGATGCGTAGGGCAAGGTATACAGGGAAGTAGAGGATACATAGGAGCTTCTGTGCCCTGTCCAGAGGCACCACCCTCCCAGTACCTCCTGTGTTCACCACCTGGGAAGTCCACCAAATTCCTTCCTTTAGGAGTTTTTATTAAGATTCTTTAATATAAGCATCACTGGTTAAATCATTGGTCTCTCAATTTTGGTGACTGAACAGTCTCTATTCCTTTTCCTGTCCCAAAGGTTAAGGATGAAGGGGTAGGGGTAGGAGTGAAAGTTCCAAGCCTCTAATGACATGGTTGCTTCCTCTGATAACCAGCCCCGTTGTCTAAGAGTCACCCCAGCAGCATACACTTAGGTATGGCTGCA